TCCTAAGAAAACTGATATATCGGTTCACCATCTTCGTCCTAACTATAATGCCAACTATCTACTAATACTTTTTACTAAGTAATTTTATTAATAACTTCAGAAGCAAGGAGGTATATTACGGGAGTACAAAAGCATCACTCGAATTGTTTCCAAGTGTCAAGGGAGCGTATAAATTCAAGTATATTCTCAAAATCGTTTACAGAAACTCTTTTTGCAAGCATTTAAAGTTTACAAAAGACAAGGTTAATAAGTAAATTAAGAAACAAAAAACTCAAATGGTACTCACCCTCAGGGCAAAGCTACGTAGCCTTCATCGAAAAATTACACGGTATATATAGGTAAAATATTAGATTTTAGTGGTATATAACATATATTCAACACCTAAATGAAATTTCTGGCTTCGCCACTTCTCGCCCTGCATTCCAAACAAGGGGCAGGCAGTAATCAAATAAAACAAACAATAAAAAGTACTTTTTCTTTCATAAACTCTGTAATCAGCCAAACTATGACAAGTATTATTAATAAGGTAAAAAGGGAAGAAACATTATATATAATAAAAGAAAAGGTAGAAAAGGGAGGGGCAAACCTGTGGAGGGCTTTACCAGAGGAAGCCCAAAAGGAACGAGAAGAGGAGAAGGAATGAGGAGAAAACCAAAGAGAAGAGGTGGGTTTGAAAGGGGAAGACTGAACTGAGAACCCCAAGAATGCCATGGCAGCTCTGCTTACTAGCTGCTTATTGCTCAAAAGAGCGGCCGTCTTGATAATAAAGTAGTAGTAGTAGTGTATATTTTTTAATTTTTAACCACAAAAGAATAAAAAGAACAACTGGAGGGGGTGAGACTGTAAAAGTAAGAAAATTTTAGGGTTTTACAAGGGTTTATTTGTTGTTTGTCTGAAAGTGGTAGTGGAGAAGCAGAGAACAGAGACCATATATGTATACAGTACAGACTCTTCTGTCTATACATACATACACTGTATGTATATATGTAAACAGGAACAGAGAGAGAAGAGGAAAGGAGTAATTGTATTATTAGTAGCTGAGTCGTCTTAAAAACTCTTTTTCCTCTCTCTTCTCTTCTGAGCAAAAAGAAAAGCCCTCTTGCTCCCTGGCACGGACATTTGACTATGTTGTCGTCTCGTGTTTTTTCTTTTTTCTTATTTCCTCCGTTTCAATAACAATGTTTTCTTTTTAAATTTAAAAATAATTTAATTTCAATATTTTTATTCTTAATAGAATAATTTATAGCTATATAAATATTCATAAATTATTTTAAACTACAGATTTTAAAAGTCAATCTCATTTTTCTTACACTTTGCACTTATTCAAATAAGTTCGAATAAATTAAAATGGAGGAAGTATGTTTTTTTCCCGTTGCCTCATGGCTTTTATTGTGGCACCTAAATCCTAACATTATCACAATATTGTCATGGCATTTTTTAATCGAGAAAACAATATGGCATTTCTCATACGAAAATTTGAACTAATAAGCACTGTTTTGGTTAAGAAATTTTTGGTTTCCGAAATCAAAACAAAGAAATTGTTTAACTAATAAATATAACTGTTTTGGTTAAGAAAAACAAAATGTTTTGCTTTATTTCGATTTAGTAGTCCTTTGTTTTATCAGAGAAGTCTTGTTCGATAAGTTGTACGTTTGGATTAGGTTTTGGACTTCTTCTTCTTCTTCTTCTTTTCTTTTTTTTTTTTTTTTTTTTTTTTTTTTTTTTTTTTTTTGAGAATTTGCTTAACTTTGAAGGGGAATAAGGAGTAAATATTAATCCAGGTATAAGTTGTTACAAAAATTATGCCGATTTTTTCAAATTAAAATTTATCACGATTCTAATTCAAAACCACAATTAACCTCTTTATGTATAGATAGATCAAATGATTTTCAGGAGTATTTTCGATCTATAGTCGACGGTCACCAATTGATATTATTGACTACAGCCTATTTCACTTTTCTTTTTCTTTTAGCTAGAATGTATTACTTTCTATTAAATCCACCTTCAATATCTTTAGATGTCCAATATTTTTCAGATGAGGAAAAAGGAAAAGTTAGAAATGTTAAAAAAAATAGAGATATGATTATGTTGAAATTTGTAGAGAGAAATTTCTAAAGTGTTTATCTCACCTTCGCCTAAAAAATACTATATATACATGATCAAAATTAATTTTTATATATCTATAATAAATGTTGAATCCCTTTAATTTCTTTGATTACTAATGCACAATAGATGTAACCAAGTTGGCAACTGGCAAACTGACCCTGATACTATAGCTGGAATGTTTGTTGAATATTATGAAGAACTACTAGGGAGGAAGCCACAAGGTAGGATCAATGCAGTTAAAGGGATACTAGACAATGGTCCATTACTATTAGTGAACCAGCAATTGGAGATGATGAAGCCATTCAATGAGAAAGATGTTAAACATGCTGTGTTTCAAATTGACAGCAATAAGAGCCCTGGACCTGATGGCTATGGTAGTGGATTTTATAAATCTGCTTGGTCAATAGTGGGAAGAGATGTTTCTGATGTTGTGCTAGAATTTTTCCAAAATGGGAAGCTGTTGAGGCAAATAAATTCAACCAATATAGCATTAGTCCCTAAGGTGAAAGTTCCAGAAGAAGCAACTCAGTATAGACCTATTGCTTGCTGCAATGTCATATATAAGTGCATCTCTAAAATGATATGTGAGAGATTAAAACCAGCAGTGAACCATATAGTGTCAGACAATCAATCAGCTTTTGTTCAGGGTAGATCTATGATGCATAATGTGCTAATTTGTCATGACCTGCTAAGACACTACAATAGGAAAACATCTCCAAGATGACTAATGAAGATAGATCTTAGGAAAGCTTATGATATGGTGAGTTGGGAATATTTGGAGGAAGCATTGATAGGCTTTGGGTTCCCTGACAGATTTATACAGTGGATTATGGTATGTGTGACTACCACTATGTTCACAGTAAAGATAAATGGAGAAGGACATGGTTATTTTGCAAGAAAGAGAGGATTGAGACAAGGAGATCCAATCTCTCCATTACTATTTGTTTTAGTTATGGAATACCTCTCTAGAACTTTGAAGACCATTAGCAGGCTGCCTGATTTTAGATTTCATCCTATGTGTAAGGAGTTGCAGCTGACACATCTCATCTTTGCAGATGATCTGATGATTTTCTGTAAAGGGAATGAGAATTCAGTGAACAGAGTCATGGAAGCTTTAGAGCACTTCAGCAAAACCTCAGGCTTGATTGCCAATATGGAAAAATCCAGCATGTTTCTAGCTGGAGTAGAAGAAGGAGTCAGAGATATGTTGCTGGAAAAAACAAGATTTGCACTTGGCACATTTCCTATCAGGTATCTAGGCTTGCCATTATCACCAAGGAACAACAACAACAACAACAACCCAGTATAATCCCACTTAGTGAGGTCTGGGGAGGGTAGTGTGTACGCAGACCTTACCCCTACCCTGGGGTAGAGAGGCTGTTTCCAAATAGACCCCCGGCATCCTTCCCTCCAAGAACTTTCCACCTTGCTCTTGGGGAGACTCGAACTCACAACCTCTTGGTTGGAAGTGGAGGTTGCTTATCACCAAGGAAATGGAATAAGATAGATTGTCACATGCAGAAAAGAAAAATCACACATAGGTTAACTGTCATATATTCCAGACAGTTGTCTTATGCAGGAAGATTACAAATTGTCAATGCAGTGCTTTTCTCTATACATAATTTTTGGGGAGCTGTTTTTATTTTACCCCAAAGTGTGCTAAAAGAGGTTGATAAAATATGTAGAGATTATCTGTGGGGGAAAATTAAGGGTCAGAAGAAAGTAGCACTGGTTGCATGGGAGAAAGTCTGTTGTCCAAAGAAGCTAGGAGGATTGAATGTGAAAGGTTGTAAAACATGGAATATAGCATCAGTAGGAAAGTTATTGTGGCAATTGGTAATGAACAAAGAGTTCATTTGGGTTCGATGGGTTCATGGTGTATATATGAAAGCTGATAGGAATATTTGGACTCATAGTCCTCCTACTGTAGTAGTTGGTATTGGAGGAAGCTAAACTCCTTAAAAAGAGAGATGCAAGGATGGTACTCACAAGGCAGATATAGCCTAACTCCAGGAGGCAACTACTCCATAACTAGAAGTTATCTTGCTATGATAAACCAACAACCACAACTAGAGATAGTAGGCTTGGTATGGACTGCTGTGGCTCTACCTAGACACAGATTTGTCATGTGGCTGGCAATTCAAGGGAGACTACTTACCAAAGACAGACTAATAGTGATGCAAATCCCTGTGGAAAACATAAACTGTAACTTGTGTGAAGCAGAGCAGCTAGAAACAAAAAATATCTATTTGTTAAATGTGACTGGATCAAAGCAGTTAGACAAGAGATCAATCAGTGGATAGGTCAATCAGTACATGATGGAGATTTCAAGTTGATGTTAGACATGATAAAAAGAAAGCACTGGAAGCAATTCAAGAAAGAGGTGATAGCAGCGGTCAATGGAGCAGTGATATACCACACTTGGAGAGCTCGGAATCTTAAAATTTTTCAAGGCAAAAATGTACATAGATTAGAGGTAGTAACAAAAATCAAGAGGAAAATTATAGAGAGAGTAGATCATATGAGGTTATCAAAGAAAGCTGATAGGTGTAGGAGATTTATACAAAGTATACTGTGTAATTAGATTGTGGAGTTGGGCGCCTTGTTCTGTGGTCAGATTGTGGTCATATTAAGGTTGCCCTATAAGTGTAATTATTTTGATGTTAATGATAATTTTACATTGTTACAAAAAAAAAAAAAAGATATAACCAAGTTAAAAAAATAGATGGAATAAAGAAGAATGAGATGTATAACAATATACAAGAGATATAACCTAATGTTTAGGCAATTCATATTTAGTCAGAGACAATGAAAATCATGACGTACTGTGATGTTCATCAATATGAATAAGTGGGAGATGACCTGATTGAATTGTATTGAAAGGAGGCTTCCTATTTTGTTTCCAAAGGGGAATGCTGCATTGCATCTATAGGAAGGATTTAAATTATACACTGACAATATAAAATTTTTTTACAGTATCAGTGTAATTTGATGACCTGTATATGAGAAAATCTATGGACATTCATATCGACAACACTACATAAAATCAGAGAAACACTCAGACTAGAAGTGTTTGGTGACGGGAAAATGGTTTTAGAATCTTTCTCTAATACAGTGAGCTTTATTACTTTGAATACGATCAACATGACTTGTAATAGTTTGCAATGCAGGTGGGGATTTGAAAGTGTCTTCTGCTGCAGCCTCTTCCTTCTCATGTTTCTTGATACTAGATATATACTCTAAAGCAGTCACTACATCGCTGATTAAAGGTCGTGTACTCGCGTCCTCTTGCAGGCACATTGCTGCAACTGTTAGAGCTTGATACAGTGCCTTCGACGGGTAGTTCTTTCCCAGCAACGGATCTGCCATTAAGTGAAACTTCTTCTTGTCATTGATCAACGGTCGTGCCTGTCCATCAATTTATCAAATAAAGATAGGCTCCTAATTGCTTAACCAATACTCCCTCGTTTCAATTTATATGACAGTATTTGATTAGGCACATGTAAAGATCAGAAAGACTTTTGGCACTTGACGAGGTTTCAAATATAGAAAAATATCATTCAATTTGGAACAGACTAAAAAGGAAAAGTGTCATCTAAAATGAAACAGATGGAGTATTTGTTGTTTAGCGACATTGCTTAAAACGTACCCACTTGACGAGGTTCTGTTCTTCGCTTGGTCTGGAGCTGTCAATGACTCTTCTTCCTGTGATTATTTCTAAAAAGACTACGCCAAAGCTATAAACATCAGACTTAACGGTCAATTTACCTGTGCAAGCATAGTCAGGTGCACAGTAACCATAGGTTCCCATGACCCTGGTGGAGATATGAGTCCTGCCACCAGTTGGACCTAGCTTGGCAAGTCCAAAATCAGAAAGTTTTGGATTAAAGTTGTCATCTAAAAGTATGTTGGAGGCTTTAAAGTCTCGATAAATCACCGGAGGATTAGCTGTTTCATGCAAATATGCAAGTCCTTTTGCTGCTCCTACTGCAATTTTCATCCTCATTTCCCAATCAAGAGGCCTATTATCTGGACCAAGTTCTGCCAATCAATATAAAGGCAACTATCAAACTCGACATCATATTGTCAATCACAATAACAAACTGTTGCAATTAATGAAGGTTGCATACCAAGAAGGTGACCCTCTAATGAACCATTTGGCATGAATTCGTACACTAATATTCTCTGATCACCATCTGAACAATATCCTATTAAATTGACAAGGTTGGAATGACGGAGAAGACTCAACAGCAGGACCTCCACAAGGAACTCTTTAGTTCCTTGGAAACCATTCCTGTCAAGTTGCTTCACAGCAACATCCTAAGCAACATGAAAACAACACAACAATAGTTAATCGGTTTTCCCTTATTTTTCTTTTAGAGTTGAAGAAATCTAAATCAATTTTTTGAACAAATTAAAGAAATGTGGGGAGAGTACCATATTCTTGCTTTTAATATGGCCTTTGTACACTTTACCAAAACCACCAGAACCAAGCAAACACTCACAGTCAAAGTTTTGAGTTGCAACACACAACTCGCAGAATGTGAAGGCCTGAGCTGCAATGTTCCCCTTTCCAAATTTTTCTATTTCTGAAGCTATGTATCTCCTTCTGCTGCTATCTGAATATTTAGCACAATCACAAAACAGACAATCACTCATGATTTGATTGAACTTACATTAATACTTAGTTTTCATTAGTCATTCCCAAAGTTTCAGCCAAAAAAACAATGAACATCAAATTGCAGGAAACAAAAGTAGAAGGGGGCCATGATATAAGGGAAAAAAGTTAAAGATATTCCTTTCCTATAAAGAATATCTACATTTAACTTTCGTTATACTTTGCGACATTGATACTCTTGTCACTAGCAAGTTGTCATATTTGCTTCCCTGAGTATAGCATAAGCTAATTTTAAACCATAGTCAAAAATAGATGAACAAATTTGAACCTTCTTCCCGATGTTGAATCTATCCAATCCATATTAGAGCTACGTTAAAGTCAAAGTCAAATAATTTGCACGGATAACTTATAACGGAGAGTAAAATTAAGATATTTCGTATAGTTAAAAGGTAATTTTGAACATTTTCCGATAATATAATAATGATGTCACTAATCCCATTTTAACTGATTGTGGTTCATTTTCATATCAATTATTTTAGTCGAATCCGAATACAGAGGAAGTCCTTTCTAACAGGTAGCCCGGTGTACAAAGCTTCCGCTATGTGCGGGTCTGGAGGTGGGGCGGACCATAAGGGTTCGACTCGAACCCGTAATTTCCTTGTCAGGTAGCAACTTTACCAGTTACGCCAACAACTTTACCAGAAACGTCAAGGCTTCCCTCCTGACCAGTAAATGCTATCATGGAAAATTGCAAGTGCTTGATATTAAGATAGATGAGACAAAAAGGCAGAAGAATTACCAGTTTTAAGAGAAATGTTGGCAAATTGTGCTGGAGATTTGGTATCTTTGTATTGTTGAATAATGCTATTTTCCAAAGAGGAATTATGAATGCTGTCCTCCACCGGCATGCAACATGAAAAGCAATTCATCCATCCTCTTTTTGCTAATCTACCTAATATCATATCTTAGGCACAATTCCTCAAAATCATCAATAAAATATTCTGGAATTTTGTCTCAAAATATATATATATATAATAGGACCTTATAATAGTTGTTTGATAATTTATTGATGATATTTTCAGAGACGATTCCAATACCAACAAACTCATAAAATCTATATATGTCAATTCAACAGGAAAATAGGAACATTTGGATGCCAAAATTAGTTCCTAATTTTCCCGTCTAAGGTGAACCGTGCGGTGACGGTCACCGGAGAAAGAAACCTAAGAGAAAGACTATTGTCTCTTAAGTCTTTTTTTCTCGGTGCAAACAAGAATGCGCCCCTTTTTCGCCATCCTATACCTTTACATATTTTTTAGAGAAATATTTTATTTCTCTTTAAACCAAAATATTTGTTTTGCTTAAACCCGAGAATTTCGGATAATTTTGCATCTTCTTATAAGTAATATTGCATAAGTTATGTGAGGAATTTACATATTATTACGGGATGGAATAAGAATACTTATGTTAGCAATATGGGGATTAGACTATTTAAAGAGAAAAGTGTTCTCCTTAAAGTAACTAGTTAGTTCTTGTATGGCAATAATGCTTCATTATTAATCACTGCGCAAAAGGGAGCCTTGACGTAACTGGTAAAGTTGCTGCCATGTGACCAAGAGGTCACGGGTTCGAGCCGTGGAAACAGTCTCTTGCAGAAATGCAGGTTAAGGCTGCGTACGATAGACCCTTGTGGTCCGGCCCTTTCTCGGACGCCGCGCATAGCGGGAGCTTAGTGCACCGAGCTGTCCTTTTTTTTATTTATTAATCACTGCACAATAATTTTTTCATTATTAATCACCACATAATAATACCTTTATTACTAATCACCACATAAACAATCACTATATTATTCAGATTGAAGTGGGGTGGAAGATAGTCATATTATGGGCTAAAGGTTTTGGTATATACTTTGGTTCTTTGGCACATTTCGAAGTCTAATGAGCTTATTATTCCAATTGTGTTAATGCACTTACTAGAACTGAAGATGTCAAAAATGATTCATGGATGTGACATAACAAATGGTGTTGGAAAAATATCTTCATTGATCTCTTGTTCGAAAATGTCATTACTTTAAGGCTATGTGTTATGTACTAATTTTGTCCAGAATTAATGGTGATGATCCTTTAGACAACTCAATGCTTGTGACTAATATGATGAAAAAGGAGGTTCATTTTACTTGTGCTTATCGTGTTATAGCTAAAGAGATAGTCCGTTAACATTCTTGGATATGCAGAACTTTATTTTATCAGAATCCAGCAGTGCAAACTTCTTTGTTCGACCCAGATGCATGGCCAATGGTGCACTTTTTAATATGTCCACCAAGTGCACTGATCTAATTTTAGGTGTTCAAGCGCTTGCATACCGTATTAGGAGGGGATTACGATCAGAAGTATCTAATTAAAGGGTGTTCATATATTACTTATGTTGATATATATCAGTGCATTCTTGAAATATATGTCTGTTCAGAAAGGATCTGGATTTATTTTTATAAGTTCTGGTCTTCCTTGAAGTAGCTAGTTAAGTTGATTTGTTTGGCTTTATTGTATCGCCAAGCTTGTATGTTGATTTCTTTTAGAACAGTAATTGATTTTGCCTTTCTTTCTTACAGATCAGGAATGGATTTAAGAAGGTATTAAAACTATAAGATGTCTCAGTCATCACCAGCCCATTGCTGGTCAAAACCAGCCAAGAGCAGCTAAATCACCACAGAAAGTAACAAAGCAAACCAAAATAAATGCATGAAGCTCTAACAGGCTTACTGTCAACTGTAACTATCATATATTGAGTAAGTTTGTACACTTTCTCTAATAAGCTTGTATATATTTCCATATCTTGACTGAACTTCTCTACAAGTAGGGCTAATTAGACATATACTATTCTAGTAGTTCATACCTAAACTAATCATACGAGGAGGTAAACAGAAAACGGAAAAGTGGAAAATGAAGAATACACCCTGGAGCAAGTAAACCACACAAAAGGAAAAGTAATATGCATCTGAAATTATATTAAGTATATTGAATCTAGCTACTCTTGTGTGAAGCAACTAGTCGCTCAACCCGGCCAAGACGAGCTTCTAATTCCGTTAAACTAAGCAAGTTAATATCAACACAGCTAGTTCTTTCCCCACTTCTCTGCTTGTTGGTAGTCAGAATTTGAGCTGCACTATTAGTCTTGTTCCTTTCATGTGCATAGTCAGGTAATGTGTAACTTCTTTCTTCTGCAGTATTCCCATTGAAAGCCATTATCTGTGAAATCCCCATAGAAATATTCTTTACTTCCCCACATTTGGGAGGAAAACCAATGGGAACATCGGGGAAATTCTCCACTTTTACTTTCTTTTCCATCATCGATATATGCTTCTTGTCATTTATCTCACCACATTTGGGTGGAAAACCAGGGGGAACATCAGGGAAATTCTCCACTATTACTTTCTTTTCCATCATCGATATATGCTTCTTGTTATTTACCTCACCACATTTGGATGAAAAACCAGGGGGAACATCAGGGTAATTCTCCACTTGTGCTTTTTTTAAGTTATAGTCAGTTGCAACTTTCACATGTTTTAACTTAGGAGCAAAAGCAGGAGGAGCATAAAGGCTAGAAAGTCGTCTTGATCTTCTTTTACTCCTTTGTCCACGCAACACTCCTTTGAATGCAACAGCTAGAAATAATACTTCTTTTCTCCACCATCTCGAATACTGGGCAGTGATATCCGATTCAGACAACCTAGATGGATAGTATAGCCTCAAATCAGAATCAATGGGTCTGCTATAGTTGTACCAGGCAACTTGTGGACATGAACACGAGCGAGGAATCCATTTAGGGAAGTCTTGGTCATATCCAAACTGCATAGCTACACGATGTGGTTGATAAGGCTCTTGACAATCCAACCCGACTAGCTCAGATACCCTCAAGCATTGAACGAAAGACTCCAGTTCTTGTTCCACATTTTGCCCTTCAATTATTGTCCACTCTTCTGATCTTTCCTTGTAAAACTTAGGAACTGACCAACCTCCCACAGAAGCCAAGGCATATGGCCTCCACAGAAATGTCTCTCCAGAAGAATCGATAATATTCCTCACACTAATCACATCCAATTGTTTCACATTATGCCATCGTCCTATTCTCACCCCACTAGCCATACAACATTTGCGAGCCTGCTCTGGCCGCAAAGGTAGTAACCTCTCCCAAGCCCAAACTTGAACAAACAACAACGGCGCCCAAAGAGTAATCGCTAGAATGTCAACACTATCTCCAACATTTCCTTTATTTTCCTCATATGATGAAGAAGCGATCATCATAGTCTGTTTCAACAAACTCAAGTCCCTATATATGCTTGCAAGAACAGCAGGAGCAAGTGCTAGTCGCGTACCTTTAGCAAGGTTGACAGCTATTGGAAAAACATGTATACCTATTTTATCATATTCATTTCCTGGAAACACAAATCTAGATAACCAAAGAGAAAGAAAAGCTTCATGTTCAAACCTGTGTCCACTATTCATGAAATGTTTCAACCACCCATTATGATTATCAGTCTTCATTCTGATAAGTTCCTTTCGTGCTTTTTCAAGATTTTCTTGAATTTCCACCAACTCAGGGGACTGAAGAGGCTGCAATGAAACAGTGCCACCCAAAACAGAAAACCCTCCCAAAATCATCATATCTTCAAGAGTAATACTAGCTTCACCCCAAGGAAATATAAAAGTATTAGTCTCACAGCACCACCTTTCTGTCATTCCAAAAATCAAATCTTTATAACTATGGATTTTGTATACTGAACCTATAATGGCTTCATGAATACCAGCAGCTTTCCATACAGAGTAATGAACAGATTTCATACTTTCAACCCATTTTTTCCATTTGTTTTGAGGAAGCCTCCAGCCATTGAAGGAGACTTTTAAAGGCCATTCAGATTCAGAGGAGAAAGGAAGTGAAGGTAGCTTTAATGGTGGACCATCAGGAGAAGAAACAATGGGTTTCAAGAAATGAGCTGTTCTGTGTTGTGGGATTCCACCTAATGGTGAAACCATTAACTCTTCTCTTACCTCAAAGATTGAGTCTTTCATTGGTTTTTCTAACATGGATTTCATCAAAATTAGAAATGGTGAGTACTAGTTGTTAATCTGTTTCTTTTGGGACAAGAAGGAGAGCATTTGTACGGCAAAAAAAAAAAAAAAAACTTTTAGAATGTCTGTTTATATATATATATTTTTTTTTGAGTGAAACGGATTTTGATATTCCTTCCTATCCAAATTATAAGTCTTTTTTGAGATTAAAACTTTTAGAATGTTGCTGTTAATGATTTATGAGAATGCACTACAACAGTCGTCCTTTTTTTCCCTTTTTCAAATAGTACTAATTAAGCCGTATAAGAGTCACTGAGTACCAGCTTAAAATTAACCTTTAAAATTGCTGGTTTTATAACAGAAAGTTTGAATTTCTGACCAATTAAAAAAATATTATACAATTGCCAGAAATGTGGTTGAAGACACTGAGTTTATTTTAAAAAAATCAATGACTAAATAAAATTATAAGCATCATCTGTGTGAGCTTCCTCGCATCGTTGGTTCAAAGCTTGAGTAAATAGGAGAGTTGCGGTTAAATTAGTTAATTTATGATCAAAATAATAAAATAAAAATATAACTTGTAAGTTTCCAATTTTATCAACCCGTATGTACTAAGTTTTGGCATGTTTTAAAACGTGTAAAATATATAAAATCAATATGCACATATAAAGCATGTTCAAGAATCCTTTGATCATTATACGGAAAGCACTAGTTTTCTTGTGACATATATTCACTCAATAGTATTTCATAGTGTGATTTCAGAAATTATTCAGGAACATTCTACAAAAACCACTTAAAGTTCAGTTAGTAGCTCATATGAGCATTTCTAGCACGTTTACTCTAATATTTATGTATGTATTTATTTAGACAATCCTTTTGGATATTTTTTTTGTGGGTGGGGTAGGGGGGAGGAGGAGCTGCTTAGACCAGATATTAGAAAAAAATTGTTCGGCTATACGAACAGTCTTCTTCGGCTAAGGCTAGCAAATCCAACTATTTTGAGACATTATGCCTAAGCATGTTAACCACAAGTGTTAGCCCCGAGGTTTCATCTACTAATTTTGATGATAAGATCCTGTTAATGATAAAGGTGTAAGGGGAGATAGAAAGGGTTCTTGAGCAGAGTTGACGAGCGCAAAACACAACATGAAATTAATGCTCGCTAGCCAAAGATAATATAGTTACGATTATTGTCTCCACAGGGATTGGATTTAAACAATACTCTAGTGATTTCTGGTTTAACTGCTATTCAGGATGATCAAAACTTGATTTGGATTGATTATAAACTACGATTAACTACTAAAGTAAAGCAATTGACAATTGACTGCAAACAACTAGAGATTAACAGAGTTAGTTTCTTATCAATGTGAGGAATAAGGATTTGACATGATAGGTGCAAGATAGCTATTTGGGATTTAACTCTACTTTAATTCACTCTAATATTCTAATGATTCTCACGAATTCACTCGATGTTTAGTTCAAATGTTTGGTCAAGACTCCTCTCTCGATTAAATCTTAACTCTACGCGAGGTGAACTAATATAAGCACTGTGAAAGTATGCCGGCATATGTTAATGGATTAGTCTTTAGGAAAACGTCTCTCGAATATTCTCCTAACTTGATTTAATCAACAATTCAACAAGCTCTTTCGATTACTTAAGAGAATCAATAAATTAATTTCAAATAAAATAATGCAAAGATAAGCACCAAAATATTCCTCTTTCGATTAAATAAAGCGTTGAATAAAGTTGCAACAATTTTAAGCTCCATAAATGAATTCAAGCAAAGAACTAGAGTTAAAATCCACAAATATTTACCAAAATACCATATCCATCAAACCCTAAGGGAAACTACTCCATCATCATGGATAAAGTCATTGAAGCTATAATTAAAAAATAAGAAGACATCAATCTAGCGTTACAATCTAAACTCCCGTATTTAATTGATGGAAAGATGATGAAATCATGTGTCTTGTAGCCTCCAATGGTCTTCCATAGCCTCCAAGGTCAAAAGTCCTCTAAAATCGTATTTTTGGTGTATTTATACTATGTAGAAGTGGGCTCGGACGAAACTAACCTTTCCAAACCGAAGTGGGACAATTGGACTGCGAAAATACACTGGCGCGATGCCCCATGCGCCACATTAGTGAAGATTTTCATAGAGTTAATTTTTTTCACTTTGCAGAAATTTTGCACTAGCGCCCTGAGCTCCGCGACTCGGTAGTGCAATTTTCTCAGCGTAATTTTTGTTTTCTCACTTTTAACATCCAGACTTGGTCCTCGACCCCCGAACGTGATCCCGACTTAATTTCTTGAGCTTTTACTCAGACTTCAAAGCTCCAACTTGTTCAAATTTAGCTCCAAATTAAATTATCTTAATAGCTCGGTATCATTTCCTACAAGGCATAAAACACGTAATAAGAACAAATCACCATTATTTAAGCTCAACCACAAATAAAATGAGTGATCAGAGTGCAAACTGTGACTAAAATATGGGTTTCTAACCTACCATCAATACCCCACACTTAAACCATTGCTCGTCCTCGAGCAATCAAACTGCACTTCACATAGAGACGACCTTCTTATCAGACAACTTCCCTAACACATCATGCCAAGAATATTTAAAGTAGACTAAGCACCCTATCGTAATATCCTAGACTCAAGACTCGACTCAACATCACCACATATTTTTCAAAAACCCACTCACTTACTCTAACACAGAGGCCAAAGATATTACCTTTCCTTCGCAAATCATGTGCCCTACACCAAAGATACAGAGTAGTTTCACACATAATAAAATTCAAAAACAAATAGGAACTCGAGATTCATGAAAAGGAAATAACTTGATATAAGTAAGATAGTTTTCCTATGCATACAACAATTGGACATGATAATGGAAAAGTCCTAGTGACAGCTCAGACATCATTCTTAGAGTTAACAGGTACAGATACAGGGGAAAAAACATCTGAACACTCAAATTCCTTTCAACTTAGTTAAATGACATAGACACATGGTATATTAGTTAAGATTACCACATAATAAACCTGACGATAAACTTATAGAATGTAGGAAAATGATATGCAGAGGTGGATATTATAACAATATCATTGGTGAAAGGGAAACGTGGACATGATTGGTTTATCAATGATAGTAAACAAACAGAATAAAGACCATAGTGCTAAGTTAGAAGTAGATTTTAACAAACACAGGCAGACAAGAAAAATTCTTGAACATTGTAAGTTCAAACTTAAGATTAAGGGACAAGGACACAAGTCTTGAACAAATTCAGATCTCAATAACTACCAAGCAACACACTTAGCTTCTAGAACTCATAAAACTTCAAATGTGTGATAAAATAGGAATGAGTTCATTGTAAGTCACTAAGAACTATGAAACCTACATGAACATAGACATATAGGATTTAGGCATGAGGACCGTAAGAAACCTCGGAACAAAGATCAATAATTTTCTTTCAAGTAATCAATTATCACTTAAGGAATTATAACAGAACATGCTGATTATAAAGGATCATTATACTAACGTAATTATCAAACATGTCTAACACATACAAAATTATAATCTACAGAACTTAACATTGACATATCTAAAATATTTAGAGAGACGAACAAAGAAAAAGGAAAGAAAGGTGGTGACCTTCTTAAGGGTAGCAAACCAAACGATTTCCTTTTCGTTGCTCAAAGATCCCAGAAAAACCTTCAAACTTGAACTAGTGAAGAACTCGGCAAAAGAGAAGGAAACAGTAAGAGACCTAATTATCATAAACCCCTAATTTCTTAATGTTTTGGTTGCTTTAGTTTGTTGTGTTATATTGTCTAGTGTGTGTTAGGTGAGAGCATTGAAGCCTCCTTTTATAGTGGCATTCAATGACTCTAGGGTTCAACAAGATTCAAAATGATAATGGAAGATGACGCATGGTAGATGATGATAGCAAATCGAGTAAAAATCAGGGGAAAAAACAGAGGAAAAAACAAGGTTGATTTTACCTGAGAATGGGGATTGATCGTTGAAAGCTTTGGACTAGTGGTTAAAGCCCTAATATCCAGAGGTCACTGAGTTTGACCTCTAGACTTCGCATCCTCATAATTAACTCTGAGACGAACCCATGCATGCTTCGATTTGAAGGAACCCGAAGGAAAACAGGTATTTGATGTTGCATTCTTGAGTCTAAGATTTTAGAATTTGGACGTTTGAATTTGTGATTGAAAAAAAGGAATTTGCAGCAGGATTCGCGGATTTCAAAAGGCAAGAGGTAGCTTCAGGTTCCGACTTTGACTTACGAGAAAAAATGAAATGATTTCTCTTTTGAGCTTTAGGGTTTCGGATTTGGGTGTCTTGAATTTGTGGTTGAAAAAGAGAATATTAAGCAAGAATCATAGGGTAGCACGGACAGGGGAGATGATTTACTGGGGTTTTGAGTGACCTTGCACAAATTTGTGCAAGGTCTTTGAAGATTGATGGTTGATGGAGACGAGGTAAAAGAGAGAGGAAAGGGAAAGAATGACGGCTGGGCGGATAGGAAATGATTAGGGTTTTGGGGGTATGAGACCAGTTGGTCTTTGAGTTAAAATGGGGGAAAAGATTTGGGCTGTTGGATCATTTGATCAGCGGCCCTGATAAATCGGGGCATTACATATTGAGAAAAATCAATTTCAGGAAAATATGGGTAGTGTTGGATCTATGTGATCCAACGGTTGAGATAATTCTAATAGTGGGTTGAGTTTTAAATGGAAAATAGTGAATAATTTGTGACCGTTGGTGGTTTAAATCAACGGTTCAGATCGCTTGTGTTTGTTTTGTGAGTAGGATCAACGAGTGACGTGTCAAATGCTGATTGGTGTAAATAGAGTTACTTGGATTGCCAATTTGGAGGAGAATGGGGTGTTTGGACTGGGTTGTTCCGATTTGGGCATGGTATTTGGGCCAAAAACTAATTTTTAAAGAATAG